CAGTCAAGGCAAAAGCCAAACCCATCGTTCCATCCCAAGACGAAGAGCAGGACAAGCTTGAGTCTTCTCAGGTCAAGGCTGAAGATGACAACAATCAGCATGAGTTTCTGAATTCCTCAGCTACGACCGAGGGTCTCGACTTTCCTCTGGAAGACAAGGCTATTGAAGACCTTTACGATGATGAGACAGCCTGGCTACAAGCTGTTAGCTCTGCAAAGGCTCATCAATGGTTTCCAGAATACTGGAAGGAACTCTCGGAGGAGCTTGATCCTGAAGACTTGGCAACATATGAGTTTGGCCATCCTGAGAATGATGGGGATCCAGTTGCATCATTTCAGCATTGGGCCGCATGGCTTAAGAAGAAAATGGATGCAGAAGAAGCTGAGCGTGGTTTGGCCATTGAATGCGCTTCCGCTGAGGCAAGAGTTGTTTATGATATCGAAATCACTTCTGCACTCAAAAATGGCTGGCCATCAATTTTTGTCACTCTGCCTCGCTTTGAACCCGACTTTGATCCCAGAACAGAGGGAGTTACAAAGCAATTAGCCGGGAAACCAAACAAAATGCAAAGACGTGGGAATCAGAACTCCTTGAAGATCCTGTTCAACAAGGTCAACTGCAAGTTCACCAAGCCTGTGACTCTTTCACCAAATCCACCGAGCCCTGTCAGTATGTTGCAGTTGTGCCACCCAAACCGTGAAATGACTGCTGACGAACTGACAGCGGTTGATTCTGCCATGTCCGCGCAGGCCAAGCTGTTGTCCCAGCAAGCTGAGTCGCCAGCAAGCAAGAGAAGGAAGATTGAGAGCGAGAAAGCAGCCGGGGCGGCCGCAGTCAAAACAGACCATGAGAACTTGGCAGCAGCTCCACATGAGATCAGGAATGACTTGACTCCCACCGGCAACTTGGCCAACAAAAAACTGGACTGAAAAGCATGGACCATGCATAAAAGAGGCTCTTCCAAAGCCACTTATACATAGCCCCTCAACTATGGGGGTACAGGCTGTAGGCTAGAAGAATACCTGACCGGCGGCAGCGGTGTTCAAGGTCCTGATACTGAGCATTTGGATGGAAGCGGCAGCAAACTTCCTGTGGACAAGGCCAAGGAGTATGTCGCGGAAGCCCTCGAGAAATGGCCGGACGTTTGGGATTTGCACCAGTCTGTGGCCAAAGCACCTAAATCCTGACTTTGGCAGGCTTGTGAGCATTTGAATTTGTATATTCTGCCTGCGCTGGCAATGGTATTTATATACTAGGACTAGGACAATAACTGTAACTTTAATTCATACCTTTCCCTTAGTGCTTCCCTGATGTTTCTGTTGAGGTAATGGCAGCTTTGGTTTTGCAGCATCATTCAGAAGACCCGCATTCCCAAGTCTTTGAAAATTTGAAAAGTCACCCGTCAGAATTGTCCCTGGCTTCAATCTGCAGTGGTACAGGGGCGTTCCTTGGCTTAGGCTTAGGTGATGCAAGTTTCACTTGGTTAGGTCGCAGGTCGCTTGCATCCTTGGCCTTTCTTTGCAATTGTTTTAGGTTTGAATCCTGCGTGGCAACGGCTGCTGCAAACTTGCTAGAAGCTTTTGGACTTGAGCCGCCTCAGGTCGTGTGGTAGAGAAATCGTTGGTTTTGTGTAAGCAAATCCCGAGTGTAAAGAGTCACCTGATTTGCTTGGAGGTGGAGATGGCATTTGCATCAGAGTGCGTTGATTACAAGGCAAAGTATTGTCTTGCTGCTCTTCGGGCAGAGCATGTAGAACATGATATGTGCATGTTCAAGGACTGGTATGCTATTCATGTGCTAGTTGTAGCATCGACAGTATTGGTTTTTGTGTTCTCATGTGACCTTTTCATATATTTGCAAAGCTGTGCTGTGAACTGCACATTGCATATTGTTTCAGTGTTCCAACTAGGAAAATACATGCCAATCAGGACGCGCTTTGTCTCCGCAACGATAAAACGCGGATGTGTCAGACTCATGGAGAAGCTTGCAACTTGCCGACCAAGCTAGATGCGTTTGGGGCCGGTTTCAGCTGCACGTCCTACAGCAATTTGAGCAAGGATTGTGTGAAAAATGCAACTGCCATGCTCAAAGCTGCAAATGATGACCCTGACGACTCTTAGCCGGCCAGGCATATTTGACAATTTTTGGTATACAGGGTCACAGCCTAGTTTCTTTATATAATTTATATAAAATATATATCTTTACGCACGCAGCGCGCGCATATATTCACCGGCTCACTTGTTCCAAGGGCAAGGTTGCCAGCGTCACGACGTTTCAAGCTTGCATGGACGTTCTCGAAGTGTCCAATCCTCTCTGGGCAGTTTTTGAGAACGTGGAAAGCATTGATCGTGAGGTTGACCCGGACATGCACCTTGCCGCTTACTCAAGTTTTGTTCTTTTTATAAATTGCATGGTCACAGTGAAATGTTCAGGCTGTATAATATAGGTGTGGAATAGACTTTAAGGAAAACAGTGCATGAACATCCAAGGCAAACCAACCTAGACCTGTGCCTGAAGGAAATTGAGCAGAGGGGTTACGCTGCTCAAAGCTATTTGCTTGATGCCAAAGCCTATGGATTGCCTCAACATCGAAGGCGGATCTACATCATTTGCCTCGACTTTCACAACAAACAATTGAGTGTGTCAGCCAATGACTTCTTTGCCAGTGTGAAGGTGTTGCTGCGAAAGCTTTATGTCCCGGCGCCTCCTGCTGTCACTCGGATGGTCTTCACTAGGGCGGTAGCGTTTATCTTTCCACATTTACTTTATGTTAGCTGTATCTGAATCTGGATAGATATAACTTGACATTAAAAGCAACTTGTGTTTGCTGTTTGTTTCTTTGGCAAATTCTCTTTAAGGACAAATTTCTTCTCTGTGATGATGATCCTCGACTGCGTAGTCTTCTTCAGGCATTGACTCAGGACAGACAAGCCAAGTTGTCAAAAGAGGCTGAGGAACCGCCAAAGAGTACCAAGAATGCAAACTGGACTGGATTGCACATGTCCATTGCTGAAAAGCGTAGCTTGGATGCTGATGCTTTTAACCGGGCCAAAAATCTGGGTTCAACTTCACTTTTCAGTTTGCTGTTTGCTTGTGTTTAAAGTGAGCTTTCAGTTCTCCCTTTAGCCGTTTGTGGTTAGTTGTTAGCCTTTGAAGCGTCCTTCGTTTTTACAAAGCAAATTGCTCTTGTCTAAGGAGGCATCCAGTGGCCAGTTGAGATTCCAGCCTCCGTGAAGGATTCCCCCTGGTTCCAAGTCTTGACTGAGCGTGCGCAGGAGGCTGACATTGTTTCTGCTGACATTGTTGTGACGTAGGGGTACTTGTAGGCATACGGCAGACATATGACACACAAATGATACACACATATTGACACACATCTATTTATTTCACTGTATACATACTTCTATCGGTAGCGGTATTATATAACATAGTGGTACAACCATAGCTGGAGAGGCTGCAATCTGAACGTAAACAAATTAGTGGAGAGCTCTTTGACTCTGCAGGTTGTGGGTTTCTGTTGTGATGAGCGTGAACGCCTGGGTCGCGCAATTGACTATGCAGATGTGTATCATAGTGCGAACCGGTATGCGACATCATCCCGTGACCTACACATTGTCCTTCCTCGCAGCATTTCGTGGGCATTCCAACAAAACCGTTTGCTTCATGGTATTGAGCACATGGCCATACAAGGGCACACTGTGAAGGTGGAGGTGGACTCAGCCAGTGGTGGTAAGGGCTTCACAAGTTCTCAGCTGACCAGTTTGGCAGGGAACGCGTTCTTTGGTTTTTGTGCAGTAAAACACTTTTGTTTTCAGCTTTAACTGTTTCAAGCCTTCTCACTGCAATGATAGGTCGGTCTGGGTGTCAAATAACACTAGACTAAAGCTCCCAGTTCATAAGCGTTTGAAAACCAGTTAGGTTTGCCTCGTCCGTGATTACCTCGGTGACCATGGCCATCTTGGCCTCCCTCCGCTTTGCGACTGAAAGTGAGGAAGAGGAAGTAGAGGATATTGAGGGTATGGTGGCCGATATGACCTTGCCACAACATGAATTCTGATCATGAGAGTCAGAATTGCCTGACATGCCGTTTAATTAGAGTGATGACTGATCACGGCTTTCGCAGCGATGAGCAGTGAAAAGGAGTTACTATCAGGATCCGGAACGACATGAAACTTGTCACGCTCATCAAAAAGTGAACGTGATACTTGACCACGTTCATCCACGTCCGTTTGCACGTACGGCCACGTCCGTTCACACGTTTGTATATGCCCGTATATGCCCGTACATGCCCGTACATTGCCCGTATATGAATTTTAACATATTTTTTTACGTACGTCTTGATTTCAGCCAAAGTATGTGCTAGTTTAATGCAGTGGTCCGGCAAAACTATGCTTATATATATATACACATTATATGGGGAATCCACACACCTGTTTTGATCAAAGTCCACCTTCGGCCTTGTTACTATGGAAAGGAGCAACAAGTCTCCCAATCTTGCTTTACAGAGGCCTGTGGGCTTTGCTTTGCTTCTAAGGACTATGTTTGGAGGATGGGAGACAGTGGGGTTAGTGTGGTCAAAAGCCCTCCAAATCGCACGGGCCAGGGCCTTGGTAGAGTCTGTGGATGTGCCAAAACCACCAAGCGGAAGAGCAACATTGACATTGATTTGGGGCGGTCCAAAAAACAAAGACCTTTTGGACATTCATTTTGGGAGCGTTCTCATTGGCTCCCGTCAGCTGTCAGAATCGCAACTTCTACTTTATTTTGCTCGTGTGTTTTTTCTTGCCCGTGCCAATGAGCTAGCCGAGGTCGGTAATGGCAATGCCTTTGGAAGCCACAGCATCTCACTCTGTACATAGCTAGATTCGCTCAGAATCTGACTTTCCAACAGATGCAAAGTTACATCGGATGCAAAGTCTTTCGCTTGAAAAAGGCAACCCTTGGAATCCATCCACTTTGTTTTGTCTTCCCACATATGTAGCTTGAAACTTCTGGAACAGGAATCCGGATTGCCATTGGCAAAGAATGTTACGGGCCCTCATGGCGCCAACACCAAAGGAAGTCAGGCACAGTCGTCCCGAAACTTGCAACGCAAACATTGGAAGGTTCTCAAAAGCTGCTTTGCAGCTTTGCCAGGACTACAGAGAAATCATGTTGAGGAGCGGCAATTTCCCGAAGAGGCAAGAAGTTGCAAGTTTGGAGAATATTTAGAGCTTTCCACAGAGAAGCTACTAGTAACAAGTGCCTCGCTTCTAGTAACAAGTGCCTTACTGGTAGTAACAAGAAGCTACTAGGAACAAGTGCCTTACTAGTAGTAACAATAAGGTGGGAAGACACCTACGATGACTACGAGAAGAAGGCAACTGGTGTTCCTGATGTTTCGGCGCTGGAATTCTTCGCTGCAAGGTTGGGGAATGGTGGACTCAACCGAAATGGAGATGCGGTTATCCAGCAAAGTGATCCTAAAAGGCCATTTTCTGCTGCAAAGGCAAGCTACCTTTTCCTCTCAAAACCTGAGTTGAGTAGAAGTCTTTGTCTCAATAGTTTTGACACAAAAGACCCATGGCCTAATTCGGTGCCCTTCAGTGTTCATTGTGGCATTCACTGTTCATGGTGGCTTTCCTTTGATATGCAGCTCAGTCCGGAAGAATTGTCCGCCCAGACAAAAGAACGGCCAGTTTTCTGCTAAGCATTGCCCAGGGTGAGCAAGAGATCAGTGATGATACGTTTTCCTTGTTGCAGAACTGCTGTAGAACTGCTGTTGAGATGGTTGTGCATATATATATATATATAGTGTCAGCATGACTTTCGTTTGGCTCAAGTTTTCCAAGTCTTCCCCCCGAGCTAAACAGAGCGAGAAACACTTCGACTCCAAACAGAAGGTTGCCTGAGCAGCTTTGTATTTTTATCACATCCTTCAACTTCTCATTTGGGAGCTGCGAGCCATGGATTTCCGGGCAGGGATAGATGCAGCTCAACTTCCAGTCTACCACAAGCATGATCAACAATGGGTCTCCTGGCTTAAAGTTTTTGCACTTTGCAGCACATTAGGTTGGTGTAATGTGGTTTGCCCCTTTGGCCCCTCGCTTCATGGCAAATTCTTTCAAACAAGAGTTGGATCCAAGGAAGAGGCCATGATTGTTGCCGAATTATCGGCCGAGGCGGCAAAGTGTCTTTTGCCTGGACATTTTGGCCAAACAAACTTCATTTGAAGTCCTGTCAGGAGCCAAAGATGGTTGCTCCCAAGCGGCCTTGCCCAGAATATGCAGGTTATCCGGAGGCCCAGAGTTTAGCATGCCCTGCTTGTGGGCTGGTTGAACTTTTGAGAGTGTTTCCGTGTTCACCTCAACGGGATAGATTACAGATTGTGGCAAGTCAGCTTGCCATAGTTTGCCTAGTCTGTTCAATCGCTTGAACACAAAACACATCCCAGAAGAAGTTTTAGGCACAGTTGGTATGAAGTGAACCGACAGATGCTGAGAGCTGAGAAAGATAGAATCGTGGCTATGTGTTACCAACCTGACACTGAACATATGATTCCATATGATCCTTGTTTGCCGCGCATCCCATCAAGACTTGCAGACAAGTCCTTGATACGCCCTGTGCAGGATTGCCCTGTGCTGCCTACGCTCAACTTGCCCATGAGCATGGACACAGTGCAGCAGCTACTCCGACTGGCAGAGGTTCGAATCGTTTCGTGTGGTCGAAGTGGGTGTCATTTGCTCAGAAGTATCTCGTTTCGGCTCACCTTCTCCGACCTTCTTCGACCATTACAGTCATTCTACCAGCATTGACCGTGAAGCATCGCTGCTTCCACCAATTGCTATATATATATACATATAACTTATCCGTCTCTTTACAAGGCAGTGCTTGTGCAACATTGATCCCGCACCTCATTTTCTGACACGAGTTAGTGGCTTAAGCCCACATGGATGCGACCAAGGCTACATTGTTTTGCAGAGAACACACTTCCTTTAAGCCACCGCACACGCTTGTTTCGAGTCTTTTAGCATCTCTGCTCTGATTGGTAGCAGATAATCACCCTGCAGATGTCCCCTAAAGATACAAGCAATGCCCAGGACATTTTTTTGTAATGTGGATTTGCTTTCCATATACTTTTTGGACCCTCGAGCTCTTTGTGAATGTACTAAGCCGCCTTAAGCCTTCTTCCAGAGAATCATATTCAAAGTCCATTTGTTTGAACGTCACCTTTATGTGCACCATTTGTGCCTTGTGCAGAAGTGCATTCTGCGATGTTTGCGGACCATGCAAGCTTTTTCTGCACTTGGTGCCAAATTACTGAGAATCACCCATGTATTTGGCAAAAAGGCGAAAAGGGCAATCGATTGAGGCGGTAGTTACTTGTCTCTAAAGTCTTCCGAGCAGGGCAGTGTCCGTACCTTCACAAGATGTTGCACCTTGTTTGCTTTGAAGCACGTGCACAGCAGGGCTCGTTCGCTGTCAGATGCCATCTCCTCCATCCTTACGTGTTGCTTCTAGTGTGATGACGGAAAGCGCTGTAGCGCTTGGAAGTATTACCGAAAGGGAAGGGGGGGGGTGGGGGGGGGCCAAGCTGATTTGCAGACAGCGAGGGCTTTTTTTTGCATGTTCGAAGGTCCATAAAACACTGTAATTTACAGTAAAAAGTGGCTTTGGATGGGTTTGTGTTGAGCTTATTTACCTTCAAAAAGTTGCATTTTACCTGCACGGGAGGCAATTTTTGAGGTTTATCTTCTTATCTCGCATTCGAAGGCTTTGAAGTGCAATGTGCATAAAACACTGTAAAAGCCATGAAAAAATGAGGTCCCACAAGTGTAAGGAAGGTGTTTTTGAGAGCTTCTTTTTATAATTTGTTTGCGTATGAAAGCTAGCTCCTGACGAGCACATCCATGATGTCAATACTGCAGTCTTCCCCAGAGAACATAACCAGCATCGCAAAGGTTTGGACAAGTGCAAGAACTGTGATTGTGAGAGCTTTATTGCTTATGAAAGCTTGCTCCAGTTGGTGGTCAAATTTAGGGCAGGTTTGTCGGCGATCTTCAGGCATTCCTGGGCACATCCTTCTCCATCTTGGCGCGTTTCGCCCAATGTTGGGGCTCTCTTTGAGCCTTCTCGTCGAGGTATGTTGGAAGTGATTGGGGCCGTGGGGTCTAGATCAGGGCTCTGTTGAAGGCTTTGCTGTTGTTATGTCACTTGTTTTGCAGACATGCTGGTCCACTTGGCTGCTTTTTCTCTGGCGTTTGACTTGGGCAGGTGGTCCTTTGCGTAGTGCGTGTAAAACACAAAAAAAGACGTGAAAAGTGAGGTCCGACAAGTGTAAGAAAGGGCTTGACAGTTTTCTTTGTCGTTTTTGTTGCTTTGTCTTATGAAAGCTTGCTCCAGTGGGTGGTCAAATTCGGGGCACGTTTGTGCCAATCTTCGGCGATCTTGGTGCATTCTTGGGACATATCCGATATCCTTTTCCATATTGGAGCACTCCAAAGAATGTTGGGGCTCTCTTGAGGCTTCTCGTGGAGGTATGTTGGAAGTG